AACTATAAAGCATGCTTCACAACCTAAACTTTGAGCTATTATATCTTTGTAGCATTAGCTCAAAAATCAATTGTATAAAGTTAGTCATGAAGAATCTTTAATCAACTTTAATGTTACATTATTAAAAAAAACCTTTGCGTGATGATTGTGAAGAATCTTTATAAGTGTCACGTGCAGGTTATAAAATTTGGACATCAAAAGTCCTATTATGATCCACACTAAATTTTATAAAACGGGAATTATATAACAACCAACATGTGGTACGTTTTTATTTTAGCTTAGAAAATAGGCGGGTGAAGCTTAACAAAATTTAGAGTAAACGGACAAAAAAAATTTAAGCGGCCAAATTTGGCCGCTAGACGATAATAAGGTTATGCTCTTAAAAAAGTTAAACTAATATATTTTTAATATCTTGGAACCTAATAAAACTATAAAATTTATAAATTGTGGTGTGACTACGTATAGCGAGGGCTGTCTGTATATATATTATTTGTTAATAAAACCTAAATTATAGATCTATACAGTAATTGTTAACATTTTATTAAAAATAAAGTTTTTATTTTACATTGTACGAACAATATTGTAAGTATATATATAATTAACAATGAAAAAAGATAGCATATATATATAAAAGATTCCAAATTCCGAACGAATTATACCGAAATCATGGTCGGTTGGGTCAATTTTGCCTAAAATCACTCAAAATTTTACTAATAAAAATCATTGCTTATTCACTACGTAGGTAAAAACGCCAACCAATAAGTTTGCTATATAGAAACAAGTTAATGTTAGCTAATATTGCTTACTGCCGATGATTCTGATCCGGGATTTTCGGTGATAACCTGTAAAAAAAAAAAAAAATCCCGCCGGGGCTAAAGTATAGACGTTTTTTCGAAGCTTTTACAATGATTTTTTGTTAGAGTGTTGTCGTCTCATACTTTAAACTGTATAAATAAGCTACTCGGCCAATTGATTTACGTTAGCCAATAATACGAAAGTCCTTCAAGAACTTAACACCGAAGAGATCTTTTTTGATCTGCTCTATGTCACGGGACTATTGAATTTTTCTGGCAAGAAATTATTTTAAAACTTCATTCATTAATTATGTTGAAGGTTAACATTGACACCCAACGAATAATGAAACTGTTACAAATTTTATAAATTACATTTCATCAACAGGCAATAGATATCCACAGTATATTTATAAAATTCATATATAACTTTGATCATTTTTTATTGGTTAATATTTTTATTTATTCTAATGGGATTATTTTTCTAGTGAAATTTTCATTGGAAACACCAGAAAAAAATCTGGAGTCCAGTGAGTTCCAAAATCTAGTCGACAACATTGGATGGTGTGACATTACTTCCATTACCTTTCACCAAAGGTTCCCATGTCTTGATTTGGAATCTTACACCCTTAAAATTTTGCATTGCTTTGTTAGCCTCACGCGAAGTTTTAAAGATAGCTAAAACTGTCGGTCGCTTATTAGGCGAATCTTGGGGTGGATGAATCATTTTAATAGTAGCATTAGCAAATGTAATATCAACTAAATTGTCAGATTCAGCAAAATCATAAAGTTCGATGATATGATTTGGTTGTGGTGGTTCGTTAGCTACAAATAAGAAGTGATTAGTTAATACAAAGATTATTAAATTCTCAATTTAATTATATTTTACCTTCGCTGGGCTTAACACCTTCGTATGGTACTTGCATAGAATAATCAAATAAAAGCCCACTTTCTTTCTTTTTGTTATTTCCTGATGGTGATATAGAAGATGCACGATGGTGATTACTTTGACTTTTTCCCTGCGAATGGTTTGAAGAAAGGCTCAAAGACCGCATCATAGTACCATTCACGACGGAATTGTGATTCGCATTAGTTAAAATATCATTTCCATTATTTTTTCGACGGGTGTTGACGTGATTCTGATTTATAACTTTTGCACCAGAAGGTACTCCGGCACATGATGCGGGAGTTGGTTTATTATTTGAAATAGATGTTCCTTTTGATGATGTTACTGGTGGTGAATGTCTGGATGGTAAAGGAACTAACGCTAACGTACCAGGAGATGGCTGAACTGAAATAGGTGAGGCGGAATCGGAGGCAGATATTACAATATTTGATGACTGTCCTGAATTATTTGGATCAAATAACTCAGAGGACTTTGGAGGTCTAATAGCACCGGCTAGTGATGCAGGTTGTTGAGGAAATCCCATAATTGGAGGAGGCATCATATTCATACGTGGCAAACTTACATGCTCCGGAGGTACTGGTCCTGGAAACATTTGATTACCATTATTATTACGACGGGGACCAGAAGCCGGCCCCGAGATCGGCGTTGGAACAAATCCCGGAAACATATGAGGAGGCATTATTGTCAATCCGGATGTATTCTGTGTAGAAAATTCCGCTGGTGCTTGAGCTGGATTGAAAACTCCCATCGTAGTAGGAGGATCAGAATTATTATTATTATTCCATACCGAATTGAAGAACTACATTAAAAATAATAATAAATTAACA